CAACCCCAAACCCAAACCCAAACCCAACCCCAAACCCTGTGTAGAGAATTCAACATAATGTGACTTCTGAATTAAACTTACTAGTTGGCTCACCAGTTATACAGAAAGTAATGGACAGTCATGACCAAATAATTAAAAATAAATATAATTGTTAAATATTTTTATTATTCTAAATTCTATACAATTGTATATGTAATTCATACATCAAACTAATTCATTTCTTAATAGATACTTTCTTAGCTTTTTTCTACAAGAATAATCTTTCTAAAGATTTTCCATCTTGTGATATTTCTGTATTCTCATTTAAAGAACAGTTATGTGCAAATATCAGACTTTCCCTTCCAAATATCTTATAACAATGAATATATTCTCCTTTTAAATTGATTTCGTCTAATTTTTCATCATGAATATTTTCTGGAAACATAAGTTTATAAAGTCTAATGGATCCATTTTCCATAGCTACAGCCATATCAATACAATTAGGCGATAATTTTATCTCTGAAATATTTTCAAAAAAAATTTAAAGGATTTATACATTTGTTAATGATTTAATGCTCCAAAATCTTATGGTTTTATCTCTTGAACCCGATATAATCATTGAATTATCATGTAGAATAGATAAGCATATTATTTTATCTTGATGTCCTTTTAATTTTTTTATAACAGAGAATTTTATGGGTTCAGCATTTTTTATTTCAATTAAGATAATTATGCTATCGCGAGCAGCAGCTAAAAGATTACTATTATTTCCAAATATTACTGACGTAATTTCGGTAGATTATTTATCTTTTTTCTATTTCCAGATAACTTTATTTTTATTTGTCATATAATTCCAAAGTACTAATTGTTGTCCTCCAAATGCAATTATAGTTTACAACTACATAATTGAAAATGTATAAAACAAACTAAATGATACAAAGGTCTTTATCACTGGATATTTTGTGAGATTGATTTGCTTCAAAATAAATTTTTCACCCTTGCTTTTTTAAAGGCAATAACAAAAGATATCCTATGTAAAACTATAACGATTTAAAAATTTTGAATAAATGACTCGTATTTAAGTTATTTAATTTATTTAATAGATATTCCAAAGCTTTAAAATACCAATTGGACATATTGATATTAACAATTTTTCATCTTTAGAGACTATTAAATGTTTAACTCTATATTTCTCTTAGATTATCAAATCCTTATCAAAATGTTCGTTCTCTTTCACAATGGCTATATCTGTGATAGAATCAATATCTTGGCAATCCATAAATACAATACACTCATCTCTATTTGAAATCAAAATTTTTTTTTTAGGAAAGAATGTGGCAACATCACTCAAGCGCACTAAAATTTCGTCATGTTCAGAGTGAGTGAATTTAGTACATGGTGATAAAGTCTTCTATTTTAATGTTTTAACATCCCATAGTATTAAATATTTATAGTATAATGGTCTATTCTTTAAAGTCTTAAAACAATCCCCCTCCCCCACACAAACGCATAATGAAAGATCTGAAGAAAAATGGCAATTTTATATTCTAAATAAAGGTATTTTTAAATTTTTTATTTTATAATGGTAACAATGGTCTCCTACATTTTAGCCGCATTTATATATAAGGCAAGATTTTAGTTTTTCTACAGTATCTGTAAAATCTATTTTCTAAATTTTATTATTAATTAGATAATATATGTGATTTTCTTGTCTCAAAAACATTGTTGTGTAAATAAAATCTTTATTTTCTATTATCCTTAGCAATATAAATTTTGCCTTATCTTCTTCCCTACATAATTTCCAACAATAAATTTATTTATTATTTCCTGTAAATACGATTGATTTTTACTAACTTATTTTAAGAAATTCAAATGATTCACTTGCATAATTGTGATATATTTATTTTTCTTCTATCTTCTCATATTAACTAATTGAATCTAGATAAATTAGATGTAATTCTGCTCTCTAATTACAATATACTATAAAATTATCATCAAAACAAAACTCAGCAATCTTACAATTATTAATTTTTTTATATCTTACATAATTCTGTTCATCTTCTGACCACGCTTATATAAAGCACTAGAATTAATTATTGTCATAATCATGGGTAATCACACCAAACAACGACACATTATGACTAAAAATAACTTATTAAATTTTTTATTCAAATTTGTCTTAGAACTAAAAGGTCTAATTTTATAAATCTGAATCATCCAAAAAATTTATTGCAATTGAATAATTTTTATCAAAAGATATTAAACTTAAAATTAATTTTTCTGTTATATCATTTTTATTTTCTTCACTGTTTTCACTTTAATCAAGTTAAGTATTTTTTTATTCATTATTTTTAATTTAGTCCAGTTAATCATCTTAATTATCAATTTAATCAGGTTATTCATCTGAATTATCAATTTATTAAGATTATTCACTATTTTCTATTTATTAGGATTTATCACAATATTCTATTTAATAAGCTTCTTTATAAAAAAAGAACTACATCTTGATTATCTAAGCTTAGTGGCATTGAAAAAAGTACTTTTTTTCAAATTGAGCTATTTCATAAACTAATATTTCATTTAACTCATTTGCTACTGCCAAAAGCAGATCATCATCAGAAAATAGTAATAAATTAATTTTACTACTTTAAATGGAATTTTTTAATGTCGCCATTGAATTTAAATCTACTACCCTTAACATATTATTGTTTTCGTAATCATTAAGTCCAATAGCAAAATACTTCAGGTTATTTGATATTGTAAAATATTGAACTTAAAGATTATCTATATCTAACTCTGACTCAGATATTTTCAATTTTTCATCTTTTATTAAATAATTAACATTCCATAAATAAATTTAATGTTTAAAGTTTGTATAATAAAATTTGTCATCATCTGTAAAATTTTGGAAAAAATATTCTGGTTCAATTTTTATTCTAAGACTACATAGCAAATAATCACCATCTAAATCTCTAAATACTACATTTTAACTATCAACAGAGGATAATATTTTAGAGTTATTTGAAAACAGAAGATTAATGATCTTGAGTTAATTATAGTTTTTCAATTTTGTTAAATTTGATTTAGATGCTTATGACAACTCCCCTAAAGTTAAATTATTTTGATAATCTACAGAACATATATATTTAAAATCTTAAGATACTTTGATAAGATCTATTTCAATATCAGCATTAATATATTCATAAGAAATAATTGACTCATCAATTTTATCCTTTTTCTCCCAAATCTCTGCTAAAGAAAATTAGGATTTTTCAACATCATAATCCCAAAAATCAATCAATGATAAAGTAATGAATTAATTATCGTTTGATAACAATTACATCTTTTGAAATTTACTTTTTATTGTATAATGGAAATATCCACCAAAATTGATCTCAAATTGAGACTTCTGTATTTCTAAATTCTATGAAATATTCCATAATTCTACTTTTTCTTCATTTGTTATGATGAGACGCTCTTAATTTTGAGAAATTGAAAAATAGAATTTTTTATAATTAAAAGTTTTTGAAATTAATAGAACCTTATTTTACATATCCCATAATTTCAGAGTTTAATCTTCGCTTCCAGAATATAAAATCAAACCATCAGCTGAAAACTCTATATTGCAAATGCTATTTTGATGTCCATCTTAAGATATCCTATTAAAATTAACATTTAAATTCCAAAATCTAATTAATTTGTCATCACTACAAGATGCTAATGTTGTATTATTTTAAAAAATTAAAGCCATATTAACATGTTCAGAATGACCTTAAAATTTATCCATAACTTTTCTTGCTTTAAAATCCCAAAAATATATTATTTTATTACTCCCACATCCTGCTAAGTATTTTGAATCTTAAGAGAATGAAAAATTGAAGAAGCTAATATTCTCATCCAATTAATTGAATTCTTAGTGTTGCTCATTTTCATAAAAAAAGAGTTAGTTACTTGAGGAAAATACTATATTTTTTCTATCTTTTGAAATTGCTATTGTGTCATAATGTATTTTATTTGAACATGAATATTCCTTTTTCTGATTAATCAAATCCTCAACTACAAAATCGATATGCTTGGATAATTTTTATAAATAAGCCACTTTTGTTTCATTTTAAAAAAAAACTAAATTTTTCAAATCACAACTTATTGCTTTATTTATTTTAATAGATTTAACAAAATTTCTTTCAATCATATCAGTGAATTAAATAGAATTTTTATCCACTATTGAAGCAAGATATTGAGAAGATGTTATTGGTTGAACAGAAGTTTGTGTTTTGACTATTTCTCCAACAAATTAAGGTTGATTAAAATCTATCATATTCAAAAGAATTATTACTATTCCATCATTTATTACTAAAATCTTTCCAAAGTTTGAAAATTAAATTGAAATAATTGAGTCATCATACAGATGGGAATCTTCATAAAACTATTCGTTTTTACTGTAATCTACATTACTACAAAGGTTAGTTGTCATATTTTATTCAATATTGTATAATGTGATATTATTTTAATTCCTGCAAAAAATTATATTTTAATCATCAGGACAAAACTCAAAACACCCTAAATTAGTGAATTCTTTAATAAAAACATTTGATTTAAACTCAACTAACCGTGAAAGTTCATGATTTCCAAAGATCAAATATTGCGAATTATTTGATATTTTTATCGATTTTATATCATTAAAAAGGATAAATTGTTGTTCACTAAAATAATCTAAAGAATAAATTATAATTTATTTCTTCTTATTATTATCACTTTTTTTTACCAAATATTTTCCACTTTTCGAAAAGTCAATTTTTGCCATAGTTTCTAAATTATAATAATCAATTAAAGTGAATCGATTATCTCCATCATTTTTCCAAATTTTTACGCATTTGAATTCTTTTGAATAAAGATATTAATCATTGAAAAACATTTTCGCATAGCACGCAGAATTCAGATTTGGAATTACTTCAAGTAAATTCCTTGATTTAATATTTAAAATATATATCCCAGATGAAATAGTTACAACAAGTCTTATTTAATCTTAGCAATATGTAACAGATTCAATTGTATTGTGATATTTATATGAGTTAGCAGAAATTTTAAAACTAAAGTCAATTTGGTAGTTGTTATCACTGTTCCATATACAAACTTTATCAGATATTCCACCAACTATAAACTGATTATCTAATGAAAATTAACATATAATTGTCATTTCATTTGAACTTGCTAATATTCCTAAATATTTAAACTCATCAAATTACAATATCCCACTGTTTTTTTGGTTACAAAACCAAATACCTTATTTTTAATGTAAGCAACAGATTCTTTATACATTTTCAGAATAATTAGATTCTGTGGCAGAACATAATTTGATTTTTGGAAAATTTGATATATCCCATAATTTCAAGAATGTTCTAGCACTAATTAAATATTTTCCATCATATGTGAAACATAAACATCCTGTCCATTTACCTGTTTTAATTTAATGTAATAATTATTTTGTCTCAAAATTCCAAAATTTAATATTTAATTCATCATTACTAGATGTCGCAAAATAATTTTATTTTGGAGAGGATGCAATTATTCTAATTTTTGAATTATCTGCTTTAATAATAGTAACAGTCTAGTCAGTAATGAATTTCCATATTTTTATTTCATCATTATTATAAAATGCAACATATTGACTATCACAAGAAAAACAGATTTCTGTATCTATACTATCATCATACCAACCCTCTCCTTCATTAATCGATTCTTATAAAGTATAAATTTAATTTTAACTAAAATCCCATATTTTTATTAATTTATCTTATTTAGATGTCATAGCTAAATATTTATCATTAAAAGAGAATACCATAAACGAAATTTTGAAATCAAATTTATTTTCATGTTTTTCATTAAATTTCACTCCTTTATATGTCCAAATTTAAGTTTTTGAATCTTCATTATAGCTTGCAAATAGAGAGGATTAATGTGAAAATACACATTGGCAAAAATCATTTTGACCGTTCTCAAATTCAATTTACTCCTAATCTTCAACTTTCTTAACATATTATCTAGATTTAAGCTTAGTCACAAATAATTGATCATCCCATGAAAGAGAGATTATCTTTGCCTCATAAATTAACGTTTAATAAAACTTTTTAGTATTGTATTGATTTAAACTAATTATTACTACTTCAGAATATCCCCCAATTGCTTAAATAGCTAACTTATCAAAATCGGATGATATTGTTAGTTTTTTTTTGTAGGGAATTTCAAAGTCATTAATTAATTGACATTTCTCCACACACCATAATGTAAAACCATATTTCTAATTACCAGCTAATAGTTTTTTTCCATCCGCTATGAATTAAAGCTCAGTCACACAATAATTATTTTTGAAGGTATTTATTTTAGTTTTTGTTTATAATTACCATAGTGATATTTCATCTAAATAACTTGTAGCTATTAGATTTTCATCTGATGAAAAATCTATACAAGTCTAATTAGTTATTCTATAGTATTTTTATTCATTCCATATGTTGCTGATTTTTTGAATTGAGATAGCATTACCAAGATTTTCTATTTAATACTAATCATCTGGGGTAAAAATTATACTGTAAATTGTATTTTTAGATTTAAAAGCAACAAATTAAGGTTATTTAATGTTTTTTATATTCCAAACAGAGAAATTTTCAGATTTAGCAGAAACACAATAAAGAAGTTCTGAGGTGATTGCTAAATAAGTAATTTAAAATGATATTTCGATTATTGATAATACTTTTTATTCTATTACATTCCAAAGTATTACTTTGTTATCTTAGCTTGCGGAAGCCAACATTTCACCATTTTAGAAGAATTAAATGAAGTTTATCTCCGATTCAGAGCTTTTTAGAACAAATTCATTTTTTTATTCATTTTTCTTAATTTTTTCAATATCCCAAAATTAAATTAATCCAAAATTATCTACAATTAATAATTAATTTTAATTTGATGATAATTGCATTTATATTATTTATTCTTATTTATTAATGATATTCCTTAATTTTATGATATTTTCTGGATCAATTATCAACCAAGATTCAACTATATCTGTAATTGAACTATGACCTAGAAATCTAAATCCAATCCTCTCTTCACCTACAAATAAAAGTTGGTTATCAGCTGAGAATACTAAGAATTTCGGTTTTCCAGAAACATCTCTTATTTCTCCTACTTTCTCAAATGTTACAACATCCCACAATTTTACAACATTTAATGAATCTGCACTTGCTATCAATTTATCATCATTCGAATATTAGATCACAACAACACTATCTTAATGTCCTTCTAATGATGGTTTTTCAGAACATATTATATTTTCCCATTTAGCATTCTCCAAATTAGCTTCATCAAATAAACAAGAATCAATAATTACTTCCTTGAAATTTGAATTTTAAAATTTGCTTTTATAAAAAGATAATCCTTTAAGGGTTGTCTTCTCTAAGTGTATTCCTGAATAGTCTTACTCTCCTAGATATACTTATAAATAACTTAATAGACAAAAGCTATTTGAAGATGCTATCTTAAATTTTTTATTTTTAGATAATTTAGCAATATATTTCAATTTATTAGTATTTTCTTCCTTAAGTTTTATTTTTTGTTTCAATATGCTCAAAGACCCTAAGTAATTTTCTTTAAAAATATTAAATTAATCTTTATTAAAAACTGATTTTTTTATATAAAGTAAACTTTTATCAGAAAGTTTATTGTCTATAATTTCAAGTTTATCAATTAAATTATTTATATGTTAGGCTACATAAAATTCTTATAAAGATTTATGGTTAAACGAATAGCTTTTCCCTTTCAAATTAATCAATACAGAACTTCTAACAAGCTTCCTGTATTCATCTTCCAAATCATCAAAATATTACATTTTCCACTAATCTTCATCATTTTAGTCGAAATAATGACTTGTTAATTTTAATCTTCCTTTTTATTCATAATTCACTAATGTTGTTGAATTAATTGTCATTTCTATAGCTAATGATTCTGAAAATTATACTAAATCTTTAGTAAAACTATCCACATTATCAACTTTTCCTAATTATCTAAGTTTTTAAATTTATTATTCATGATAAAATTCTATGAAGTTTTAATAAAACTCATATATTGTAAATACTTTCATTTAAAAAGCAGCTATCACAACTTTTAGTTCATCATCATTTATATATTTTAATTAATCTTATACTAAAGATATATCAGTTATTGAAAAATTTTCAAAAAATCGTTAGCTTTCTAATTTATCAAGAATTTATTTTAAACTTTTGTTATCTTATTATTAATCCTCTTAATCTTGTTCAATTTATTTTTACTAAATTTTATATTCTTCTATGATTACTTGATCTTTTTATTATGCCTATTATTTATATTTTTATAATAACTTTTTTGATAAATTTTCCTTTCTTTTTAGTTAAAGTAAATTATTTTTAAACATTTCCTTCATTTCATTTGATCCTTTATATTTTTTAGAAAGACTTGGTAGAATTTAAACCACTATTTCAAGCATAAATGGAGTTTTTAACAAATTTTAAATGTTGAGATTTTTAATTGTATTGTTAAAAAAATTTGCACTCCATAAGTCTTTCAGTTCTTTTTTTAAGATAATTAGCTAATTATCTTAAACATATTAAAATGCAGATTATTTTTTTAATATTTAAGAAATATTCTCAATTTATTAATCAGTTAATAACTAAGTAGAATTTTTATCATTTATATTTTAATTGTCAACTTATACCAAAATGTTATTCCAAATATCTAAAAATTCTTAAACATCTACATCCTATTTTTTTATTTACTTAACAAAATCATATTATGATTTAATTCTTCTTTTAATACTCAATTTAACATAATGTTTTAGATACTCTTCACTTTATTAATCATCAAAATTCATGATTTCGACTTCTTTGAATGTTTTAAGATCTTCCCCATAAAACCATGTTTAATATCCTAAACTTGTCAATATTTCTTTACGAGTCGTTATTATAAATTTTACATTCTTTTTTTAATTATTTTTAATATTAAGATTTTAAATTAGATTATTTGTTTCTATTAAATTGGATTAAATAGAATCTTGCTTCATTTCATCGTAACTATCAAGAATTATTACTACATAAATCTTATTGTTACAAATTTCTTCTTTGAAATCTTTTAATTACACCTTATCAAACCCATAATTTTCAGATTCAAGTGCTTAATCTAATAGATTAAACTTTGGGTTTTTTTATTATGGTAATGATATATAAATTGGAATCCAATCTTTTTCATCTTAATATTGTTCCCATAGATACTCTTCAATCTTTTTAGCTGCTCTACTTTTACCTGAACCAGCTTGACCTTTGATTAACATTACATCTTTTGTCTCTTCTTCATATATAAATTAATTAACTTCTCCTTCCATGCCATTTTTTTAGTTTTATTTAATTTTTTCAACTAGCAAAAAAGAAATTGATTAATCTGTAGCAATTTCTTAGATTAATCCTGTAAATGGATTAAATTCTTATGTTTTTAATGGAATGTATACAGAATCAAGTTCAATAAGATAGGCTTATTTTTTTACCTTTTCTTTTCTAATTTTAAATATCTCTTCATATTTTTTTCCTCTTAACTTTCTCACATCATTTATAATCTCATTTATTGATTCCTAAAGCTCATCTATTTTCTTTTTAATTTATTTTACATTTTTTTATAGCTCCTTTAAAAAGATCAAAGTAATATCCAATTGCTAAGACATTTCAGAAATATTATCTAGAAATTACTCAAATTTCTCATATTTTTTTATTAATTTTCTTTACAATTCATCCCTCTACTATTAATAACCTTCAAAGCGTATTTTTTATTCAATCTCATCCATTTTCTATAATCTTTAATTCATCTCGTCTTTGATACTTGCAGATAATGTTTTAAGATCATGAGAGAACAGTTATTTTTATATCTCTATCATCTCTTTATTTTTTAGAAAAGCACGAACACTTTCATCTTTTTCTACCATCCACATTTATTTTATATATTTTTGACATAACAATAATAATTCTTTTTCAGGAACTTAAAATTAAATTTTTATTAAATGAAAGAGAAAGCATTCACGAACTATATAATCTTTACTTAAATCATAGAACTTTCTTTCAACATTCCTTTCTTATTCTAAATAATCTAATATTTCTTAATATTCTTTATCTATTTAAACTGTTATCACTTATGTTGTTTAATTAAAACAAAAAATAGTGGCAAAATCTTTTAAAGAAAAGTTTTTATTTTTCAATTAATTTTCCTCAGTTTACTTTTTATCTAAAATATTCTATGTAAGCTAATTTTATTATTTTTCTAATTCTAATTTATTTATTAATTCTTTGATTATTTTTTTGACCTCATCTATCGAATGATTTTTAATATTTTTTTCAGTTAAATATATTAATCCTTTACAATATTAGTTTACATAATGGGATAGTTCTTCCATATTATTAATAAACTTATCAATATTGATTATATATTAATTCCATTCTGTTAATTTTTTGGAAATAAGTATTAAATACTCATTCTATTCAATATTTTCTGGTTAAGTTTGATCTTAGATAGCTTAAAATTGATCATTATTTGAGTTATTATTTTGATTATATTATTGGTATTTCTCCTATATATCTTTCTTGAATTAATCGAGATTTTCATCAGAAGATAAACGAAATTAATAAACTAAATTAATAAGTTCATTTTGTAGAATTAAAGCTTAATTTACTAAACTGTTTTATTAAGAAGCAAATTTTACTATAATTTTATCTTTTAATATTTCAATTTATTCAAGTATTTCCTAAATACAATTTTATTTTTTAAGATCTTTTTAAATGAATGTTTCAATGTTTTTTTATTGTTCTGAAATCAACTCATTTATTGATATTTGTTATTATTAGTTAGTATCTTATTATTTAAGCTCTTTACTTTATTTAATTTCTAATGTTTATTTGATATTGAACTTCAATTTAGAAAAAATATAAATTTACTGCAAATATTAACCTTTTAAAATAATCATCATTTTGATATAATTCTAAATATTCAAGCCAAAATATTATATATCCTCAAAATTTTAAAATTGTTATTGAATAAGAGTTTCCTTGAATTCTTTATGTTCTTCATTATTGATAAAGGATATTTTATTTTTCTCAATGATATCCAAGAAGAACTGATTCATTTTTTCATCAAATTTTTCATCTTCTTTGATGATTTCTAGTTTATTGTTAGAGCTCCAAAATTTCCATAATACTTAATATTAAATATTAAGTTCTTTTAAAAAGTTTTCTATTAAAATCTAAATATCTCTAATAAATAAACTTAATTGATTGTCTTGAGTTTACTATTATTATTTTTGGGATTCATTTTTTTCATTTTTAGAAAACTTAAATTAAAATCCTCTACATTTTGAAATTTAATCAAAAATTTAATTGTATTTTTTTTTTTGAACATCTAATTTAATCCAATCATTATAAATATTTTCAAGCTATTTTATATCACCAATCTAGCTTTCTGATTTTTTTTTATCTTTTTCATTTTAAATTTAAAATACACTCAGTTTTGCTTATTCTTGACAGATTTCAATTCTCTTCATCTCAATAATCATAGTAAAATCTACTTCCTGAAGTAAATAAGAAAGCTTGAAAAGAACAAACTCTAATTATTGAACTTCTTCTTAATAATTGACTTTATTTTTTGTTTCTACTTCCTAAGTTTGAGTTGGGAATAATTCAACCAAACTTTCATTATATTTTTCTACCTTTCCTTTAATCTCTTTTAACAATTTACATAAATATTCAAGTTTCTTCTATTATTCATCAACACCCAATAATTAGAGTTATTATTATTATTATTATATATTGTTTTTATCTTTTGTCTTTTTAAGTTTTGAAAAGGTAAAATCTACATAAAATTAAAAGAAATTTTATTTATTAATAAATTATTGATTTAAAATAGCATTTTAAAATTACCTCATATTTTTAAAACCTAAATCATTTATTTTTTGTCCTAATTCACAATCTATAGAATTAAAGGAAAAACTATTATTTACTTTTCCAAGTAATTTATCATAAGATAAGACTTAAATAATATTTTGTTTAATTAGTTCATTCCATAACTAACTTTATTTCATTTCATTTAAACTTATTATTTTCCTATATGAAATCAAATCTGAGATAGCATTTATCCAACAAAAATGTACTATCCAATTATCTGAATTCTAAATATGTTATTCATATCCTGATTAAAGGTCTACGATTGATTAACTTACAACATTCTTATCTTAAATACTTTTGATGATGCTCCATTTTAATAGAAAGAAAAAGTAATATATTTGATATGTTTTAATTGGAAACTAAAATTAATTGTATTTTTCCTCTAGCAAATATTTTGCAAAATCACATAAATTATTTATAAAATCTTATTTTATTGAAAGTGATAATAAAGAAGAAAATGCAGCGGATGCAATTTATATTAATTTATCCTATTATTTCTTAGAGTTTGTCCTACTATTTATTAAAACTGTTTTCATTAAAGTTACCTAAAACTCTAGCCCACTTTTCCAAAATATTTAATGAGCTTCAAGATCTTTATAGAAAATTTCAATTTTTGATAATAATTCAATTTGCACTTCAGTCAAAAGAAAGCGCTTTTCATCATTAAGCTAATAAGTATAAATTATCAATAACAAATCATTACAAACTTCCAAAACATAATAACAAAGACATCCTGATTCTCTTAAATAAATTGAAATAACTTCAACAAGCTGTCTTAATTATTTTAATGCTAAATCATAAAGCATTAAAATCCAATAGTCATTTTTACAAATTTCACAAATCTTATATCGATTATCAATAAACCATTACAATGACATCATTATTTCATTTCTAGAAAAATTATCATAAACTTAATCACATTTATCAATAATCAATTGGCAATTTGATTACATTGTTTTTCTGTAATCCATACCAAGCGTGCTTTACATTTCAATTACTGATTTAGATCCTCCAGATTTGCCTCCGCAGCATCCTCCTCCTCGAAGAGATGGAATTAAGATTTATTTAATTAAATATTCATCTTTATCATACCTCAATTTAGGAATACATTTGTACTTTAAAAATTCTCTATTAATATCTACGTAATTCTCTTTAAAATTTAAATTGGAAAAACACTAGCTTATTATATGATTCATACTTCAAATCCAATTATCTTTTTCAAAAAACAAAAAATCATATTTAATTTTTTTAATATTAAGTTAATAAAATCATTTTCTATTACTTTAAAAGTAGAAAATGTTATTCAAACTTGAGGATTATTAATTTATTAAAATAAATAATACGAAATGTTTACTTCTAACCTTCAATATTTATTTTCTATGATAAAATACTTAAAATATCATTGTTCATAAAAATTGTATATATTAAAAATATTATTTAAAAAAATAGACATTCATATTGCAACAAAAAAAAATTTTGCCAAGTTTAAACGATAGCATTGATTTTTTTTAATATGTCTGAATATTACTTTACAATTAAAAAATAAAGATGGAATTTGCTTGCATAACATATGAGATGGTTTCAAGTATCTAAAAATTTAAAATAGAGCTATAATTTTAAAGGTCATTGTTGTAGCAAATACTGTAATTGCTTTCTATTGAAGCCACTGTTTCTAATTTTTGTTAACCGAGAATAATTAGAAATGGTAAATTTTGTAACAATTGAATTTTCAGCATATACTTAGAGAATATCTCTTATAAAAATTATAATGTTAAATAATTTGCATATATTCATTAAATATTATAGTAAGTATTTTATTTTATCTAAATTTCCTCAACCAAAATAATACATCAATTACATCTAAACATAATGAATATTTTATACCATATTTAGTCAATAAATCTCTAATATCATTCCACTTTCCAGTTAATTCTGAATATTTATTACACTTAAAAATAATTAAGAATTAATATTGAAATATTTAAAATATATAACTTAATGATAAACACCACATGTTCTTGCTTAAATAAATCTTTATTTTGTTATAATATTTGTAAGATTGATTAATGGCTATTCACTACTTAATTTCCATATCAATGATTTATATTATTGTAAAAAATAAATTATTCTGTTTCTAAAGTTTCTTTTCTGTTGGTAGAATCCTTGATAATTCAAATTAATAAAAAAAAATATAAAGAACTTATCCTTTATTCCTCCATATTCTTTTAAATCAACACCCTTTTTATTTCTGTATCATAATTATAAATTATTTAATTTAATCTAATCTAATTATTAAACTTTGGTTTATCAAATGTAACTCTATGACACTATCCTTTAACTCTTATTACTTATCTTGAAAGAATTTTTTTCTAGTGTTTTTCTATTACACTTATATTCTTATTAAAGAAATTAAATTTACTTCATATAATCTATTTAGTATACAATTATAAAGTTTAATAGCTACCTTAAATTATTAGAATCATTATTTTTTTGATATAGTTGTTAATATAAATTAGAAATCTATTGTGAAAAATCTATCAATCACAATGTCTAATAATCAAGGATGTTTTTAATTATCTAGATTTTCTTCATTATCAATTGGCTATTCAATTTATTCAATTCATTATTCATTGCTATATTAGTATTATTCATCATCATTTAAAAAAAATGCGTGATTTTTAATCTACTCAATATTGATTCTCTTATTTTCTTAGTTAGTATTTTACACAAGCTCTTACAGATATTTAAATAAATATTTATTTGTCTTTTTTTTAATTTAATTATTTTAATAAGATATATTAGATGATGAAGAATTTATATAAGTGATATTAAATTTACTAATAAATATATCCCTTTATGAATTACATTGAGAGATCTATTAAACATATATCCTAATTAAGATCTCTATGAATAATACCAAAACTATGTAATATTCAATTGTATTATCAATTGCCTAATTATATTATATTCTACTTGCCCATTTATAAGTCTACAATATTATTGAATCTACCTCTGTTATTCCACAATTTATTCAAACAATTAACATACATATTAAGTTCTCTTTATCCTCCGCAATCTATTCTTTGAGTATGATTTCTTACTTCCTTCATAAAACTATAATTGACCTTATTTATAATTCAATTTCCTGATCATACTTCAGAGACTCTTTCTGAAGTACTTTAATGGCCAAATGAAACTATATTGCTACTTATATATACTTATCCATCATTATTGAAAGTCACACATAATAATAATTAATGATAAATAAGTTAATATAATTATAATTAGCATATCAAGAATCAGACCTTAATAGTATTAATGTTCAGTTTTTAGTGCCCTTACAGCTTACAGCTCATAAACTGTTATAATAAACAAAAACCCCACAATATACGTATATAAGGTTGTGGATTCGATCCTACACCTCACTCATGGCATTTCATTTGGGTTACTTTGTTTCGATTCTGATTTGATTTTATTATAATAAGTAAATTATTTCATAAAAATAATAATTATAAACTGTCTTGTTAATTTCACTTTAAGTCTTTAATAAGTAATTTAATCTGGTTTAAATTTTGATTAAAAATATTTCATTTTTATTTTTAGAATTACCCTTTTAAAGATTTTTCATTTTCAGATTCTACGGAAAATGATAAAGAACTTTAATTAAATTATCAATTGAATATTATTTTTAAAATTAGGATATTAATCTTGCTGCAATCATCTCATCCATTCCCATCAATCATTCCTATTTTGATTAAAAATTATAAAATATCAAATATTAAATAATTTTTATTAAATTATTATTTTTTAATTTGGATTTATTGAGGCCTGGATTGTTACAAAATTTATTTTTTCATCAAACTATGATTGAAAATTATTTCTATCTATAAGCATTTGACTATAAAATTTAATAGAGGACTATAATAAAAGAGGAAGTGGTTACAATATTAAATCTATTAAATAAAAGGAATGATGGTCCTAATATTCTATAGTTTATTATAATTATATTCTAGATTGCTTATTGAATTTATTTATTAATTTATTAGTTTTGAAAATAAAAAGTTAATCCTAACCATTATTCTAGAATTTTCTTTAATTCTTGAACTCCTTGGATTGATACTATCTTATACTGTTTTATAAAATAACTAGATTTTTTTCAAGATAAATTAAGATTAATAAACTTTTACGTGAATATAAATTAACTAAGAGATTTGTTAGAAGAATAAACAAATTTCAATGTTTCTTTTAAAGTTGAAACTTCCCCTAACCTAATAGTGTGCTCACTACAATCTGATGCTAAAGTATTACCATCAGGGGTATATTAAATTGAATATATTTTTCCAATACCTTAGTCAATTTCATAATTATTTTATCCTGTCTTATATCCCATAATCTAGTTGTCTCATCTTAACTTCCAGATGCCAAGATATTTTTATTTGGATGAAATGAAAGTGAATAAATGCAATCTGTATGACCTTATAATTTTTTAATCATTTTTTTTTTCTTAAATATCCTATATTCGGGTTATTTCATCTTAGCCTTCTGAAGCCAATAGATTCATAGTTGATGAAAATACAAGATCTCTGATCTAACCTTCGTGCCCATTAAGGGAACCAATATCCTCCAAAGATACCACATCATATAAAAAGATTAATTTATCATCTCCTCCAGATGCTAATATATTACCGTTAGGTGAAAATGCTACAGTATATTTTCCAAAGCATAATTACTCCATCTTATTTCTGTGCAGAAGTCCATAGGTATCCATCTGGAGAAACTGCTAATTACCAAACTGCACCATGTTTAGAATCTAATCTTAGTAAGTAAGCCTCTTAATTTACATCCCATAATCTTATAGTTTTATCATGGTAACCTGAAGATAAAAGAATTTTTCCATCAGAAGAAAAAACTATCGAGTATACCGTATCTTCATAACCATCAACAAATTTTGGTTTTCCAATTAACACTGCACATTAACTTATGTTCACAATCTAATAATTAATAATAATTTAGCTTCTGATTATTGCTTCATTCTAATTTCATCAATTATAAATTTCAATATTCCATAATAGGATTAAAGTGAGAAGTCCAGGTTGCTAAATTTACTTTTTCCAATAATTTTGATAAATTCTACTATATTCGAGTTGTTAGATGCTTCCTACTTGAGATTTAATTTTAATTGTTTAGCTAATTCATTTAAACTATTAAATTTTCCTTTTCCCATTAATTAATTTATGAAAAAGTTTAGAAACATGATCAAAGTCAATTTTTGGAGAAATTCATTAAAATCTATCAAGTATAAAGATACAAAATATTCCTGAATAGATTTGTGCATAAATGAAAATATGTTACCTTTCTAATTTAATAAAGAGCCTTTTCTTTGAAGTTTTTTTATTATTTTTTTCATTACTATCATCAAAATAATTATCCATCCAAGAATGATTATTATCAATAGAAGAATTATCTTGATATAATCTAAGTTTTCTATTTTTCTAATAATTAACTAAGGGAAGTTCCCTATATGTCATTTCTAATGGCAATTCTTGTTAAAATAGATTGAAATCATACCTGAAGTTTTCTTCATCTTAAATTTTTCCATGTTAGCTGAGCTTTTTAATTTAATTATTTTAGTAAAATTGAACAAAATCAACATAGAAATGAACTATTTGATTGACATGCAAACAACTTCTTAATCCTCCTTTTCAAATCCTTATGGATATTTTATTTAATTTAAAATTGAAAAATCTTTAAAATATTCTTGCTCCACTAATTTTTCCCATCATCTATTTGCATCTGTGAATAATTAATTTAAATTTATATACCTATGTTATTAGATTTATGTTTAATTTTTATAATTGGAAATCAATTTTTAAGCTGAATAAACTTCTAAATAAAAGGCTCCCTTATCCTATTCATGCTCTAGTGTTAGATAATATCTATACAACAATCTAAAGCATAAATGGAGATATCAACAGAGGTCATAAATCCAGAAATTTAATTAAACTTTCGATTTCTTTGAATTCCAAAATTCTGCAATTTCCTTTCTCAGATTGTTTTGGAATTTATCAAATTGTTACTAACAAAATTCTTACACATAAACTTAAATTATAAGAATAATCTCATTAACATGAACTTCATCAAGCAAATACCGATCACCCTCTTTTAACTATTATAAACCGACACTCTACAATTACTATTCAAATAAATTACAATTCGTCACATTTTACTCTAATTGATGTGTATCTTAAATATATTAAAATATTGTTTTTACTCAGGCTCTGTGAAAAAAAGATCGTAATTCAACTTCTTTTAACATATCATCTTTTTTACCTTAGAACCATTATTAATATAAACTTGGGATAAATACCTCAGATCTGGTTTTGTAGATTAATCTAATAAATATCAGATTAAAGAATCAGATATATTAAATTAAATCTTGGTTCTTCAAGTGATGGTAGAGTAAAATATAGGTGTTAAAGTTTTTTTCTAATTCCAATCATGCAAGCCAACAAAAATTCTTCAATTTTTCTAAGCTAATATAGTTTTTCCAGATCCTGCAATTCCATGAATAAGCAATGCATTCTTTCTTTCTTTATCCTTTCCATAAGAATTCATTGACTACTGCCTCAAAGTTATTTTATTCTTCAATAAAAATTTGTGTTTTCCTTTATATTTTATTCCAGTTTTAAGGTTAATTTCAAAGCAATACATAGGAATATAAATGTTTTAAAGATCATTTAATTTTTTATTTTATAGCACTGTATTCTTCTAATATCTAATAAATCTTTAAAGGACTTCCCTCTTAATAATATTATATCTCTAGCAATATCATTGACAACTTTTTTCAAGTTTTCAACTTGTTATTTGATTAGAGATATTCTTTTCTAATTTCTAAAAGAATGGAAATGCTAAATCCATCTTTAGCTCATATCTTATACATTTATTATAAAATTCTCCAATTCATCGCACTTCTTTTCAATTTCTTCCTTTTCTATTCTCTTATGAAGATACTTTTCTCTTGCATTAATTTGTTTTCTAATTCAGTAATTTCTATTAATTTA